GCAGCATTTTTCTCCCTCCTTTTATGGCCACAGCATTTTGAATCTATGTGCAATAAGGCGCAGGTATTGTGGCCCAGGGCCATTACAGCAATCTGGTGGTGGTAATATCCGGCCTTGGGGTTGAAAATGTGATTTACAACTTTAAAAAGGTGTATATTTGCCTCACTATAGCAAGCAAGGCCTAGGCCTTACCAAAATAATTTGCTTGTTCTCAGACTTGGAAAAAATTGTAACTAAATGAACAATTGAGTCATGAAATATCTGATAGTTGAATCGAATATCAAGCAAGAGATAAATAAACTTGAAAGCTAAACATTTCATGAATGCAGTATATATGCAGTATATATATAGGCCATGCAGATTTAATTCTTGGATTTTGGATTCAAATTGATATAGGTGTCAAAATGTAGCCCTGATGTAAAAAATGTAGCACGTGTGTAGTTTTCATCATGAATACATGAACAATGATTCAAACTTTAAATGTTTTACCAGTTTGCATAGGGAGCATGATGAGTCTTATAGAAACATCATTCTGTTTCCCTAAAATTACTTCCAAGACATAAGTGTAAGTGCCTTCAGTACTGTTCTGCTGGCCATTAAGTTAAAGGTGGACGCAGGTGGGCCCTGGTGGTCTGATTGCCCGGCATTTCATGTTGTTTTAACCAATTAGAAATTGATTGGCACACCCCCACATCAGTCAACATGGAGGGGTTTTGGATGGAGAGGGATGGGTCGGTGCAGAGGTGATGAGGGATGATTTTTCAAGGTCTGGGGGTTAAAAAAGAGTGCAAGGGACACAGGGCCAAACCCATTGGATTTGTTTCTTCACGGATTTTTGTAGGACACAATCAATGATTCAGGGGGAGAACAAAACAGACCTAGCCATCCATAATAGGACCTCTGGTTTCTGATATAATAACAAGTTTTTGACAAAGAAAAATTGGCTTGCAAAGATATGGAAAGAGATCATTAAACTAAGCTTAGTCTCACAACAAAGTTTGCTCTCAAAATGCAATAAATAGTGTTTCAAAGGCTCAAGATTTTAAAATTGTGATGCTCAACTTGATGACATCAAACAAAACTGAAATGGCAAAAAAAATTCAGAACACTTAATGCTAACAAACATGCAGGCACTGCCTCCTTCGAATGGGAAACTCTTAGAATGTCTAGGACTCCATACACACTGACCCTGACCCACTTTGGATACACAATAGTTTAAATGGTTGTATGGCATTCAATCTATACAAGACCATCAGAGAAGTTCACCTAGGAAGATCAGAGCGGCAGCATCACATCAGGATTACAAGCCGGTGCCCCTAACCATTAACCTTTACCACAGGAAAACCCTACTTCAATTTCATAAATGGAAAATAGCAGAAACGATCAATGGATGGCCGCTTTAGCCACTCACTTCAAAGCATAACTGTCATCTCAATCATCAGGGCTCAAAATGCTCAATGATCAGGGCTCAATCATGCACTTTTGTGCACCCTAACTTACATTGTAGAGCTGCCCTAATGATTTTTGACAATGGTACACCTATGTACGGTACATGAAGTATACAGGATGATTTTGACGTGTCAGATAAGTAATAATTTAAACTTTAATTTCTTGTGTTTCCCATACCTGTTAAAAGTTTTGATGTTAGCTTATAGAATTTTACATTCAACCTCTAAAAGCAGTATGTTTTGTGACTAGGTTTTACCGACATTCTGCTTTATTTTCTATATAGTATTACCGGTACCCAAAATCTTTCCTGTGCACCCAATCTCTTTTACGGGCACCTAAGTTTTGAGCTCAGTTGCACAAGTGCCGCAATTTCTAAAATTGAATTTTGATCCCTGATCTTTAAAAGCTGCATTGTGTATGCAGAACGTGAGAAGGTTGACAAAAGTACTTGTCTACATGCAGGGCTTGGTAGGTTGCCTCAAGGCTGTCTCGCTATGGAGTATGTGAGCAGCAAGGCAACTGAGTTTTTGTTTTAGGCACCACCAATTTGATTTCATGGGTCTTGGGACATTTTTTATAAAGCTTCAGTAAGATGAGATCATGAGAACAGGTTTTTTGAAGGAAAACAAACTATATTCATTGTGTACACCTTACAGTTCAAATGTCGTTTAGATCCAAGAACCAACACAGAAAAAAAAAACACCCAAAACACAGTTTCAAATCATACAGCATAGTTCTGAATCACACAGCATATATAGGGGCCCATCTAAATCACAGTGTAGGTGGCCCAATTATATTCAAACTATCCTAGCTAAAACACTGCAGCTCTGTGGTAAAGTTGGTGCCCTTGAAAGTTTGTAAATGAGTTAACTTAAGTTTCTAAATTTGAGCTGACCATTGCTTGATGACCGCAACCTGGAAAAAAGATGAATTGGCTGAAACACTGCCGGGCTGTCTTCAGATTTCCCTGGTGGCACAGTGGCTGGCCAAGTTTCCTTTCAAGTGCACTTCCATTCCAAGTAATTTACAGCACTTAACATCAGGAAGAGGTAATCTTTTCTTTTGCTGCCCACTCCCCCATGTCAGGGACCCCACAGCAGTATAATCAAAGACTGGATACAACTGAATGAAGCTAGGAGACCTTGAAAGTTTGTCTGTGAACATTTGTGGTCAAAGTTATAACCTCAGTGGATTTTTGACCATCATTTCTAAACCACATATAACTGACAGTGTACATGTGGCATGAAATGTTGGCGTTTGCTATTTGTTGAATGAAGAAGTTATCAAATTCCATTTACTTTCATATTCACAGAGGCCATAAAGACATATTTTTTTATGATTGGTTCTGTGCAAGGGAAAACCTTGGGAGATAAACTTCTGTATGCCATAGAAACCAAATTGAAAACATATGGAGTAAGAGTGGGATGGGCTTGGATTAAAACGCTAGCAAAGCCACATTGCACTGCTACTATCTACTGCGAAAGCATCTCGTTCCATTACTGACTAGAAGATCACTGCTTAACCTTGTATTGTGGTATAGGGTATACATTTATTTTGATGGATGGAAGGCGCAGGATAGATAGTGCACAATTATTCATAGGAAAACCTTCCAGCAGGAGATAGTGTCATAGCAATGTCTCCTCACCAAAAAAAGTGTACGTCAGAAAGTGACACGAAGTCAAACGCCCAGTGGGAATCCTATAATCCGACCACCTTTGCTTCAGGCCCATTGTTGTTGGTTAATTACATCACACTGCAACCGTGGAATCAATGGAGGTGGGAGTTTGGTTAGATTGGAAATGGGAGAACCCCACAGAGCTTTGGTAGCGAGATTGGAATGGGAGGGATCCAGTTGAATCCTGATGTCCTACTTTCTCTAGAATAATAGTACAAATGATGATTGTCCTAGTTTCTGGAATAATAGGACACAATAATTACAGGTACTATGACTATGAGTGTGACAGGCAGGCTTGGCCAAAGCTATTGGATGCAGAATTCAGTTTATGTTTTAACGGGCAATGAATTTTTTTCTGTCTTCTCAATTTCCACTGTAACTTTAAGTGAAGTTAATTTCATACCCTAATTTTTTGGCTATTAGTTTAATCCAACGTTTAAATTTGCGTACTAGTATCATAGTTAATTTTTGCCAGCATTGAAAATTTTTATTCATCAATTAGGCCACACCAATTTAATTTCCTGGTTAACGGATTCGCTGCTTCATTTTTTTCTGCTTTGCAAATAAAAATAAAAATCCAGAATCAACTGCAAAATGCTCATATTTTGCCTTGAACAGTTGAAAACAGTCCTTTTCATCCTAATTGTTACAGTTATTCCATCTTTCAATGCAATGGTATCATTAAAATTTCAAAATTCATTGTTTAAATTTTGAACCAGCCTGGTGTGTTGACTTCATGGCTCCTATGGTACCATTTTGGGCCATAATAGGATGCCTAGGCCTGTTTTTATTTTTTTATTTTTTCGCCCGCCCGCTCCATTATTTTTCTAGAAAAATCCGTTAACCAAGAAATTAAATTGGTGTGGCCTTACATATATATATATGACAAGATAGATAAAAAATTGTCATGAGTGGTGAAATTGCCATTTTAGGATTTTTCACAATTTCAGCCAGACTTAAGTAAACTACATTGAAAACTATATTTCAACCGACTTACAAGAACTGTGTAATGTGAACTAATTGGTACCTTCATTTCATTTGTACATTGTAATTTGACTTCTGGGCTGTAGCTGAGTTGGGCAGGCCGCCAAATTTGCTTTGCATCATCATTAAAACCTCATCTAGGACGAAAGAAAATGAGATTTCTCCTCCTAACCCCCTGGCCCGTTGCCAAATCTAATACTCTGGTGATGGAAAGTCTGTGACAATTGGGTTTTGAAAGATTTATGGTGAAATTAGGTTAATAACGTTGTGCCCTCCTGTCCCCAGCTGTCGGCAAGTAGCTTAGGTTTGTAATCTTCCAGCTGACTAGTGGGATCACACTGTCTGTTTGTAGTGCTTGGGGATATACATGTACTGATCTCCAAGCAGAGGTTTAGGTTCTGGCTTATTTTTGGTGTGTTTTTAAGGCATTTTTATCTCACTTTCTTTTTTTTGTAAAAAAAACTCTGCTACAAAAAAAAAAGAAAGCTTACTTACACCTTCCCTACTTCTTATCCAGTCAACAATTATATAGAGAATTGATGGCCAAATGGTTACTTTGGTGTGCTAAGTTTGAAGACCGACTTGTAACACTGTGCTTTTTGTGCTTACATCTATAAGCTTTACTATTCAAAAGCCCCATTCCAAATCTGCACGACATAACCAGACAAGTTCTGAGCATCTAAAGTGTCTTGCAACAGAAGCTGGAAGATCCTTAAAGAGAAAGTCATGACACTGTTTTTTAATCTCCATGCAGCTGTATGCTTTACTGTTTGGAAGCCACACCCAAAACCTCCACAATATGACCGACCAAGTTGTAAAGCCCAAGAAGATCTAGAGCATCTTGCAACAGAAACTAGAGAAGCTCATAACACTGTGTTGTTGATTTTTGCAGCTGTACGCTTTACTGTTTGGAAGCCCCACCCGAAACCTCCACAACATGACCGACCAAGTCATGAAGCCCAAGAAGATCTGGAGTGTCCTACAACAGAAGCTGGACAGTCTGAAGGACGGGCTGGTGTACCAGACGCTGACCAGCCCACAGAAGCTGGCGACTAAGGAGGGACTGCTGGCCCTGCTGGGGCAGAGTCTGGGGTTGGGTACTCTGGGGGAGAAGGCTGAGGAGAAGGTGCTGCAGCCTCCACAGCAGATGGTCAAAAGTCTGGAGGTTTGTTTTTTTATTATCTTTACAAAGATGGTTATGTATTCAGTAGCTTTTATCGGTGTGTTTGTTTGTTTGTTTGTTTGTTTGTATTTTAAAACATCACTGATGTCAAAAGTCTGGAGATCTGTATATAACAAGGTTCCTTCAAAGACATTTCAAACTCTACCACTGGATAAATTTTTAATATAGATTATCAGAGATTATTTCAGGATGTTTCGAGTGGCATCCATCACTCTTCTTCAGCATTACCAAAGGTGACTCTTTGGTATCACTCATCTTAAGTGACAATGAAGAAGAGTGATAGATGGCACTCAGTGCTTTAACCCACAGTGTCATCTTTCTGAAAAACTACCGTTGTATCAATCAATCAATCAATCAATCAATCAATCAACCAATCAATCAATCAATCAATGATTAATCGTCCACAGGCGTCAAGTGCTAATTGCATGTGACTGTAATTTTTGTTGATGTACATTGTAGGCCTGATGATAATCAAAGCCAGTAAAACCCACAAAAACTTGAGTTGAGAGATCCGATACCTTTAAGAATTATGCATTGTTAAAGTAGTAAAGGGCACATACAAGAAATTTGACCCAAACTCAGTTGCCGCCTGTTGTTATTCCCCCAGTCTGTCCTGCTGACCCCTGCCCACCTGCAGTACCTGGTGTGTAACACTTCAGCAGGTCAGATCATCACTCAGCAGCAGGACCAGCAACACAGCATGGTGAGAAACTTTCCTCATAGAACCGACAGACTTCTGACAAATGCATGGAAAATTGAGATCAGCCCATAGTTTTCAAGAAGTGTAGTAGGATTCAAAATTTTCAAATCTATGGCTCTTCTAAGCACATATCCTAAGACTGTAACCCCAACCAGTATCATGCATGTCATATCAGGTATTTGTTAGTTGAAGTCTAAGAGATGTAACAGTAATCACGTTTTCAGCACCCTGGACAATGGCAATGGCAAAGGCTGCATATGTTGTTGGAAACTTTCTAAAAGCTCTTAAATCTCAGCATCTTCTCATACATGTTGTTCTGTACAAACAAGGCTAAGAACTTTTAGTTAATCATTAGTCCTTGTAATATTTAACAATGATTGACATTTTCCTAGATCCTAACATATATTTTTACAACTTTAACTTGTCCCCAGGATGAGGTTCACCAGGCCCTATGTAACAGCTCCCACGCCAAGTCCAAGTTTGCAGCCCTGGCAGAAGGACTGAAGGCACAGCTCAACCAGAAGGCTGTTGTCGATCAGGTGGGTTAGCCTCTCTTGTCTGTGGGAATAGAAGGGTTTTTATTAATGTATTAGACTAACTGTAAAAAATGACATACAACTAGGTCTGCCCAACTAGCCAGAGGCTAGCCTGGAAAATTTACAAATTGAAGGGACAAGAAGAACTATCTGCTTGTTCATTCAACTGCACAAACAGATAGCTGTTATGTGGGTTATACCAAACAAGGAGGTACGGGTTATACAAAGCAAGGAGGTATGCTAAATACAGAGATGGTCTGTGAATAGAAGGACCACAAAGCAGTTTGCAAAGGCAGGTGAAGTCTGCCATCTCTGATGGCCTTGTTTAAATTCCAAACAAAAACACAAACACAGACAGCAACATTGCAGGTAGGATAGGCCAGAAATTTTCAGTCCCTAAAAACCTATCCTCTCCTTGGTGCTGAAAGATGTGTTATATGTTTGCTATATTTGTTTTGTAATTTTACCCTCTATATAGAAATAAATGGCTCACAAGGAAATACACAAATAGTTATTTGTATTGATTTGCTTAGCAAATTGTTGATTAGGGATAATTTATTGCATTAAATCTTAATTGTTTTTTCTTAAGTTTGTAAATTTCTTTGCAAATTCTTGTCATTTGTATTACTTTGTAGATGCATTAAGTAGTTGATTAGGAAATACTAGTAGTATTGCTGTGGAGAAGTCTATCAATGTTATTTACATTTGGTAAATTTTACCATTTGTATTTGTTCAGAACAAGTAAACAGTACAGTTCTTATTAGTGCTGTGTACCAGTACGTAAACAAAGTACATCATTCAGGTATAGGCACAAAATAGTGGCATGTTTTCAGTCAGGGGTTAAGAAGATACTTTTGATTGATGGTTTTCCTGTTTCTTCCCTCCAGCTTGGTCTGGACCAGATGGACATTGTGGAGAATCAACAGAAGATGGAGAGTCTTATGGAGGCTGTGAGTTTTTTTTGTTTTGTTTTGTTTTTGGAAAATGAGAACACTCAAGATTGTTTGGAAGATGAGCTTGTTGATATGTCAGTTTTGTAGCAGCTAAATTGTTCTGAAACTCCAAAAATTGGACTCACTGGAAATTTTGACTGAATCAACACTAAGTCTTCTTCAGATATCTGACCTTATCATGTGACTTTATGCATGTGTGATGTCAGCAGTAGGTCAAAGGCTTTTGGAAATATTTCTTTGTCAAATCTTTTCTTTGAGGATATCAGGTAGTGAACACTTTTGTTATTCAAGAAACAAAACCTGAGGATTTTGTAAATATATTTTTTTTCTACAAATTTGGCTTGCCACCTCAGCTGACCCTGGTATTTTTAATCTTATTTTTTTTGCAGTTGGAAGATTTTGCGATATTCCAGTCGGGACTCCATGACCTGAGTGACATCGCCTCCGTCTTCCCATCATACACCTGTGCGGGGATCATGGGAGAAGAAGGGGAGGCTCCGACCGACCCGGCCTCGCAGGCCGTCACAGCTGGTGGGTATCACTCTGACCTTGGAAATGGAACTTCTCAAGGTCATATGTTAGAAGCATAACTTGGCAAGTTCAATTAGACTGGTTGTACAACCATGTAGTTGTTGTAGTTGTTTTCTCTGCAAATGTGAGACTTACAGTCATACACTTTTGTGGATGATCCACTGAATTATTGACATGTTCTGTGATTACGTTTTCTTTATTTTGTTGCATTTGATTTAATGTGATTCTCTTATTCTTCATCAAATATTTACTGAAAAACAAGTATCATGTATTATGTTCAACTTGTCAGAAATGTTTTGGTCTGAATTAGATATTTCATTGCCTTGTTTGATCTGTTGTCAGGTTTAAGTTTTGTTTAATTTTGAGGTTACTTTAATTTATTTTCAGTCTTGTTTTTACTTATTTTGTTGGACGTTTCCTTTGCTACATTCTGTAGGTCCTGATGACTGTAACCCCCCCGTTACAGACCCAACCCAAGAACCTTATGGCAACAGTTCCAGTCAATGTTCGTTTGTAACCCTGCACTTGTTTTGGACTTGCCCCCTTCACTCTTCAACTAACCCACTAATCAAGCAATCACTAATCACTAACCCAACACCGGCTGGTAGAGTTAGCCTGCTAAAAACTGACACAGGTTTTCCTTTGATTTCAGAATATTGCTCAATTTTTTTGTTGTAAAAGCCACAGATTGAAGTCTTATTCAACAAGTGAAATTTCATACTTCTAAGTATGAAATTTTACTTGTAAAATTAAAGTACAATGTGATGTAAAATAAAAGTAAATAAATTTAAGTACATGTAGCTATGTAATTCCTTACTTAAGTTAGGAATTACATAGCCACATGTACTTTATTGAATCTCAAAAAAATGAACAATATTGAAAGAAGGAAAACTTGGATAATGCAATTACAATATCAGTAGTACAGTCACTGATTGCAGAGAATTGCTATAATTACTTAGCTTTTAATCATGATAAACTCAAATTTTTGGTGAAGGTGCAGTGCTGATAATGTAGAGTTGCTTACTACTCAATGACATAACATATGAGTGCTCATATTTGTGCAGTGAAGAGTGCATGTGTAGTAGAAGAAGTAGGGGGAGTTACAAGTAGAAATGTTTTTCTTGTTAAGGTAGCCCTTTGGCACCAAATTTGTATTGGTTATGGGCTAAGGCACTGGGGAGAAGGTTAAATACTGCATATTAATTGAAGATTGCGTTTCTCATGTAGTCCATACTGTACTCCCAGACTGACAGTGTTTTGGACAAAGTAAACACACCAATACGATTCCTGAAGGGAAAAAACTGAAACATAAAGATTGATCAAAGATTTTCGTACAAGCATCTTCAGGTTGTTTTCATGTCGATCTTCCAATTCAAGATTTTTTTTCAAAGTATGAGGTTCAGTTTGTTGTGCTGTACAGGACTGGTGTGAGTTTAGTAGTAGCATCTGAAGTTTGTGGATGAGGCTTGTACGTTTCCCCCTGTTAGGTACAGATGGGAACAGCACAGTGGTGGATACAGACATCGCCACGTCTCAGGTCCACCACGTTCACAACAAGCTGTCCGGTTTCATCCGAATCTGGACATCGCTGCAGCCAACCATCTGTGGGGTCAACAAGACCATGACGGAGGAAGCCTTGGAAGCTGGTACGCCCCTTTCTTTTGTCAATATATGTAATAATAAGTAGTATGTATAATACTTTTCCTGAAGTTTTGCCATACATACATTGTATGGCCTCCTTCAGTCAATATTAACCATGACGGAGGGAGCCTTGGAAGCTGGTAGGCCTTGTTTTATCCAGACCCGTGCTTTATCCAGAACCATGCTAAGGCATTGTTCTAGATAGTCCATGTGTGTCCAGAACCATGCCTAAGGCCAATCTACATTCTTGGATACACAAAGACCATCCAGAACTACATGATTTTTAACAAAATGTTGGCTTCTTTGGCCTCACTAATTCATCTTTGTTCAAAAAATGCTGAACTGAAAAATCAGCATTAAGAAACAGCCTGAGAGCAAAGTCTGTTTCTGGTACACGGTCAAGCTGATTTTTTCCTGAATTTTTCTCTGCTAGTCCAAAATCTTGCTAAAATCGTATTACTAAAATGTATTGTCCTAGAACCAAGTAACTGAATTGATGTGAATGAAATTTTGACAATATGTTCCTTTCCCAACAGGCGACCTTCGGTCCATGGGGTACAACAAGAAGGAGAGGAGAGACCTGGGACTGCTACTCCATCTTCTCACCAGCAATCCCAAGATCCTCTACTCCCCCAACGGAACCTGGGCGGACAGCATGACCTTCCCAAATGGAACCGAGATTGACAAGGTCATAAAGAAGGTACGACAAGGTCGTAAAGGTGGTAAGAAGCGAAGTAGCGGCAATGAAAGTGCACTTAACTGACCCATCATTTACAGTAAACCCCGGCGGATCATTTAGAACGTTCCGGAACTTAATGGAACAGGCGTTACTGTCAAAGTCACCTTGAGACATGACCCTTGACCTGCATCAAACAGCGCTTACGAGTAGGCTGTTTCCAGTAAAACATGATTTTAGGGTGTAGCTTACATGTATAACCCATAAGAACGAGCTAGTATTACACACAAGTGAAGATTATGATGGGGAATGATGGAAGATGTAATTTGGCGTAAAAAGGGATGTGACAATGCTGTGTGACATCATGTCACATTGTGCTCAATTATGTTACCAGTAAATCATAATCCAATGTTTTCCAAGTCAAAACTAACAAGTAAAGATTTCGACTTAGCATCTTTATTACTACTAATTTCTAATGCAATTATTCTTCATTGTTTTCTCCCAGCTGTTACATGTACTTGCAATAATTATTAGTCCTATTAGGCAAGAATTTGCAATAAAATTTGTTAACCTCCAGACCTCCTTGCTTCCTAACTCCATACCCAATACAAATTTTGCAAGGACAGGCTTAGTAACATTAGCTTTGGGAAGTTTAAAACTGTTTATTATCAGTTGTTGGGTTTGGAAACAAGATAACTCAGCAATAAAATGTATGCAACATGAAGGGAAGCAGTCATTATGATCCTGCATGTGCATCTCAGTGTACATCTGATTCAGTGAAGTTTAGACATCCAGGTGATGAGATACACAAGAAAATAATTACTCAAGCAACTGGATAGATTTCAGTAGGATCCATGGTATCTACTTTTCGCCAGTGACTAAGGGAATCTGTAGTTGAGGAGTTTTAAGTTTTAAGTTTTCATTAATGTTTGTTTGTTTACTTCTAGGTGGCAGAACCCTTCACCTTCATCAGTAACGTGACCTTCATAGCCGACCAATGGCTGAACAGGTCACGTGAGCTGCGGCACTTTATCCAGGAGAACTCCACGCAGCAGGACATCCAGTGGCTGCGAGAGGTACATGTACATGTACTGCAGCAAAGAGCTCATATGACCATCTTAGAAATTGATTCACTTTAAGGAAGAGAGTTGTAAGATTTCTTGGATAAACAATTTATACGAATCTTTTTGGGAGAGATTCTAATTTGTAGTACTAGTAGCTGTGATGTTGTTGACTATAAATTATCATACTTTCATGATCCTTGCTGTGGAAATTTTAAGCTTTCTTGTTTCTTATGAGATAAAATCTCATACTGTACAAAAGCTGTTAAATTGGGTGCAATTCTAACTTGATTTTGTCAAGATTCTAAAATGATATTTAATATTAACCCAATATTAAAAGAGAATACAATTTGCCAATGAGAATAGCAGATGATCCATTTCCCCAAATTAAACTAAACAGTAACTGTTGGGATTCATACAACCAGCCATTCAATTCTTATTTTTTTGCCTTTCCAGCTGAAGGATGCGTATGCAGCCAACCCCCAGCTGTTGAACATGACGACTAACCCAGTCATCCGGCGCTTTGTGCAGTCCCCAAACGTCATTCCCAACGTCACCACGGTCCTCAGGCAGCTGGAGAACATCGACAACCTCGCCTGCGGATGGATCAAACTTGTTAGTACTTTTTAAATATATTTTGCTTACATTAATTACAATCATAGTAATCACATAAATAGTAATAATAAATCGTTTATTGATCAAACATTACCCGGCGTGCAATATCAGCCTTTTATAGCTGGCTTGATGTAGGGTTTACAATGTCCATTGGTTTACAATCACATAAGAATCAATCAATAATACTAGCAATCACATAATACACCAGTCATGAAAATATATAAGTAACTTTTAACACTTTTTCTTACTTGCCTTATGCCCTCCTCTTAGTGCTGTAGCAAGAGATACATGTAAAGGGCTGACCTACATGTAGGCTTTACTCAAGCAATCTTGCATATATATTGTAATAAAGATGATCTTAAACATACTAACTCCATGAAACTGAATTGACCAAGGCATAAACCTGGTATGTTTTTCCAACAACAAACAAATTAAATTGGTGTGGTCTTATACAAATTGAGTGTTAAATTTCCGCCTCCTACACTAACTGAAATTTGGTCAGGTGAAACCTTCAAGTTTGTTTAACTGCGCTCCGATCATTCTGTCACTATCTCAGGTGTCAAATTTCAACCTGAGCATTTTCATGCCATTCCCGAATGAGGAAGCCCTGGTGAACTACACCCTGCACCAGGCACAGAAGGACAACGTCACCGTCTTTGCAAGTATGGGTTGTTTTTTTTTTTTGTAACTCTGTCTTAATTTTATTTGGTTTTAAAAGTACTATGTACATCTTGTAAATTCTCTCATTGCTATGCTCAGAGGTACTTGTGTTAACCTTGGTAGCAGGAAGCATAATTCAATTTGTCACTGCCACCATGATAACTAGTGCTGTAGCAGACATCCATTGGTGTTGTATAATATTATGTAGCAGGTGGCAGGACAGAGTTGGAGGGGCTGGTCATCATACACATGAATGTGTTTGAGTAATAGATAAATAAATAGAATAAAGTTAATTTGTCAGGCTAGACACTGTCATGGCAAACACTATATTACCTTAAGTTTCTAGTATTGATAATGAACCCATTTTTTGTACAATGTAGGTTTGGTGTTTAATGTGACCAACACCACCGGCCAGTTGCCTGCCCACATGGTGTACAAGATCCGTCAGAATGCCAGCTTTACCCAGAAGACCACCCAGATCCGGCGCAAGTACTGGCGCCCCAACCCTAACCACGGCCACGAGCTGTACTATCAGTTCGGCTTCATCTGGATACAGGTTCGTTTGTCCAACTCCAGGCTTTGTCCTTCTTAATGCTTTTTTGCCCTCATTCCATAGCGTGTCCTGGAGTATTGAGTTGGACAAAAGACAGGCTGTCATGGCATGCCACATGGCCAAACCACTGTAGCTTACGTCTCTTGACAGTTGCCAATAGCGGTTCCTGAGGGCTGAAAATGCTCTGTACTTCCCCCCCAAACATACATCATGTACATGTAACCTTTAGATTTATGTTTTTGGTATGTTATGCAAAGTACTCAATTCATTTGGTTAGCAAGGATACTCTACTCCATCTCTGCTAACAGTGTCCAAGTTAGCAGAGTTAGAGTTTTGGACAGAATTAACTATAGTATCTACCTTTTAGGACATGATAGAGCAGACTATTAACAAGAGTAACCGTGCTGTCTCTTCTTTAGGACATGATAGAGCGTGCCCTGATCAGCGTGGTGGTGGGCCATGATGTGGTGGAGCCGGGAAGCTACGTACACGAGTTTCCCTATCCCTGCTTCATGGCAGATGAGTGAGTAATCTTTTTTTTAACATCATTCGTGAATAGTCTCATCAGGTTGGCAAGTCATCAGTGCTGAAGTGCAATGTGAACCAGTCAGAGTTGCCCTGAGGAAGGTGACAGATTATCACCAAAACGTTGGCTGAATAAAAGACTTGGTTGTGTAAAAAGTAAAGTCTTTTTACTCTGTTTCAACATCATTTTTACTTGTCTAAAGCTGCATTTAGTCTATTTTTTTCTTCCTTCTGAGGCATTTTGAAGTGAAAATTTATCAAGAGGATAAAGGAAATCAAATTATATGGAGGAACGTTTTCATCAAACTTACGTTCTGAAACAGAAAAATCTTACTTCTTGATGATCTTCTAAATTGAAGACAGCCTTATTTTTTGAGAACTTGAAAAAAAATCTATTTGGTGTTGCTTATAAGAATGCAGATCTGCACTTTACCATTAAATTGAAACTATTTCAATTAAAAAAATGTCTCCTTGCCACTTCTTACTATCATGGTAATACAGAACATTAATTGACACATTTTGTGTTCTAGCTTCCTGTTCATGATAGAACACATGATGCCGCTGTGCATGACCATCTCCTGGGTCTACACTGTCGCCATGCTGGTGCAGAACATCGTGTACGAGAAGGAGCAGCGACTTAAAGAGGTGAGGCAGAAAGTCTCCAACATGAGAAGAAGCCATAATGCCATGTTGTATCCAGAACCGTGCTTTATCCAGAACAATACTCAGGCACGGTTCTGAGTATCCAGAACCATGTCTGGGTCAAATCTGCATTCTTAGATACATTGAGACTATCCAGAACTGTGCCTGATCCTAACCCTAACATACATGTACATGTATTCAGGTATAGAACTGGATAGTCACAGTTCTGGATACTATATGGCATGTCCAGCACTTGCACTGTCCAAGGTGCTGAAAATGTGATTATTGTTACAGCACCAAGTCTTCCACTATTGTACATATAGAATACAACACAGGATGCAGGAAAGAAAACTTGCATCTGACTCTGTTTGCTCCCTGAAACTGTGTGCACTAAAGTACAAACTTTCTTTATCTTAATGTGTACAGATATATATATATAATAAACTGCTGGTACACTAGCTCCCGATCCATCTACATCTACAAACCATACAGTAGCACTGTTTTTCTAAAATCTTGATATCATCAAGCCCTTTTCTTCTTCTCCATGTAATATTGAATACACAGCTCCCAATCCTTTGTAAATCCCTTCTCTTAAATGGTGGATGTTCTTGTCTACAGAGTTTGACAGGTTTTCCCCCTGGCCTTATATAAGACAAATAGATGTCGCTGTATCTCTGTAAGCCCCTGCCTCAGGGGCAGGCTTACATAACAAACCCTCTTCATCTTGATCAGAGACGGTTTAGTCCGATCAGAGACACCAATAGCTAATTCTTCTTCAAGTCTTTCAGGCCTAGAAAATACTATTATCTACCTACTATTTACCTACCTACGTGATTTACATATTGAGACATTCTTTTAGGTTGGAAAAATGTTCATATTTTTCAGCAAGTATTTAAGATACTTAAAGCAACATTTCAAGCTCTGTACTTGTTTCATTTCTGTGTTATCAGTGAGATATTTCAGTGCTTGTTTTTGTATATCAGATTTTATTATAAACCAGTTCCTGATGCTAAACATTGCTGACATAATGCAGGTATCTATTATTAGTCATCCAAACAATGTTGTTACAAATACATTTTCTTCACCAGTGTATGGAAACCTGTGTGTTCCTTGCAATGGTGAGGAATTGTGGAAACCTCAAGACATAGAAACCAAGTAATATCCCCGAACAAGCCTACTGTGCATCATCAGTCTTATTCTGCAGAAGTGACAGAGATACATGTATGCAGGATCTGCCCTGCTTACCAGAAGGCCCCTCCACCTTTGAAGTACCGTGCCTGTGATTTTTCTTCATCTCAAAGTAACTCCCTCCATCCTTTGCTTGATCCTTCATTTGGAGCGCTGCCAACTCTGCTCTGCAGAGGGCCAAGGTGGCTTACAAAGTCTTAGAAGAAAGAAATGAGGGCTTCTTTCTTAAATCTCTCAGGGCCAATTAAAGCTGGGTTTTATGATTGGGTAATCAATTTAGAGAGACAGTTGAGTTGAACAAGTTGGCCTCTGCAGGTAGTTCTTAACCAGTGAGGTGAAGTTTAAACTCAAGACTTACCCAATTTTCTTCATACTAAAGTCTGCCAACTTGAAGATAGAAGATAGAACTGAATTTTGGCTTCAAGTGAGAGTACACAATGTTAAGTTTTCAACTTGGGAGAGAAATTTACCAACCAACACAACACAAAACAGTACAAAGTTGTTTAGTTTTTCAGTACGGAATGTTCCCCCTATTTTGTGGGTTGGGATTCACACTCCTGACCCTCCTATCCTAACCGCTACTCATTTTTTTGTTCCCAGGTGATGAATATTATGGGTCTGAACAGTGTTGTCCACTGGGTGGCCTGGTTCATTATAACATTAGTGCACACTGTTCCCAATGCTAAACTCTTGTTGGGATTCAAACCCCTGACCTCCCAATCCTAACCACTATCTAATTTTTGTTTTCAGGTGATGAAGATGATGGGCCTGAACAACGCTGTCCACTGGGTGGCCTGGTTCATTACAACATTAGTGCACACTGTTCCCAATGCTAAACTCTTGTTGGGATTCAAACCCCTGACCTCCTGATCCTGACCACAATCTCATATTTATTCTCAGGTGATGAAGATGATGGGTCTGAACAATGCTGTTCACTAGGTGGCCTGGCTCATGAGTGCACACTGTTCCCAATGCTAAACTCTTGTTGGGATTCGAACCCCTGACCTCCTAATCCTGACCATCATCTCATATTTATTCCCAGGTGATGAAGATGATGGGTCTGAACAACGCTGTTCACTGGTTGGCCTGGGTCATCACTAGTACACACTGTTCCCAATGCTGATCATTGGAGTGGGAATCAAACCCCTAGCCTCCCAATCCTGACCACAATCTCATCTTTGTTCCCAGGTGATGAAGATGATGGGTCTGAACAACGCTGTCCACTGGGTGGCCTGGTTCATCACCAGTTTCCTGCAGATGTCCCTGACGGGGACGTTCCTGATGCTGATCCTACAGTACAGCCAGATCCTGACCTACAGTAACCCCTGGATCACATTTCTCTTCATTGAGCTCTACATTGTGGCTACAATCTCCTTCAGGTGAGTGCAAGCAAACTTAAAAGAAACTGTATTATAAGATTGTGGGAGCTCTGATCCTGCAGTACAGCCAGATCCTGACCTACAGTAACCCCTGGATCACGTTTCTCTTCATTGAGCTCTACATTGTGGCTACCATCTCCTTCAGGTGAGTGTAAGACATCTTAAAGAAACTGTAAGATTTCTTAAGGACACTGGTACAGCCAGATCCTGATCTACCATAACTTCTGGATCACATTCCTCTATGTGTCTAGATACATCTGTAATTGTCTACACCTCATTTATAAATTCATAGTTCTTGGATAAATAACTGTTCAAATACAGATTTGAAAAGTAGTGGATGCCTCTTGAGATGTCTGACAATTTTCAAAATTCATCAAGTTGCTTGAGTAACAGTGTCCTTGTGTATGTGTTCATTTAAAGTCTTTAGAAGGTAGCATCTAAGGTAGTAATATCTCATTTTGTATATTGTGAAAAAAACATTTCTCACTGCATTGTTGTTTCCCCAGTTTCTTTGTGAGTGTGCTGTACTCCAAGGCAAAGGTAGCAGCTGCCTGTGGTGGAATCATCTACTTCCTGAGTTATGTGCCATACATGTACGTCGCTATCAGGGAGGAGGTCGCCAATGACAAAATCACCGCTGCAGAGAAAAGTGTCGCTGTAAGTATATCTTTCAGTAATAAACTGGAATGTATTTAGTTGAGAGAATATACCATGAAGCATGAAATGTCTCTATACTAACATCTTGTCATCTTTTTGCTATCTCATTCTTAACTGCACTGCTTACATTATTCCAGTGCCTGATGTCCACCACAGCGTTTGGCCTGGGTGCCAAGTACTTTGCCCTGTACGAGGAGTCTGGGACAGGCATACAGTGGGACAACTTCCTGCAGAGTCCAGTGGAGGGGGACGCCTTCAACCTGTGCAGGGTCATGGTCATGCTGGTGGTGGACAGCATTGTGTACTGTCTCCTCACCTGGTACATCGAGGCTGTACATCCAGGTGAGTTGATGTCACCTGTCGACCAAGTGAAACATCTTGGCTACCAGTTGTTTTAACCTAAATTTTGGGTTATCTTAAAATTTTCTGTATCTGGTGCTGAACTGCAATTGTATTCAAGCTGTTAGCATTTACATGTAGGTTTCTGTCCTTGGTGCTGAATGACATTCACGATAAGAAATGCTAAATCTCACACTCACTATGCTATGCTTGTTGCTGATGTATAAACATGTAGTCTAACAACATTCCGGTTCTTAGGGCTAACATATCATTGGCACTAACCACACTTTTCGTCATTGAGATTACACAATTTTCACCTTCTTCCCAGAGGTTCATACAGTCTTATTTTGTGGCTATTCTGTCAAAACACAACCTCAGGACCAGAACAGTACCAACATGTGCATGTAGGTTGCTGTCCTTGGTGCTGAACCACATTCAAACTAAAACCGTGTTCCAACAGGTTCGTACGGCTTGCCCCGTCCCTGGTACTTCCCGTTCCAGAAGTCCTACTGGTTCGGCCACGGGAGGCAGGAGACGCTGGACTGTCACATGCCGTGTGCACGGGGGACTAACTACAGCTTAGCACTGTCTGAGGAGGATGGGGCATGTGCTGCAGAGGACACTGGAGATGGTGGGTACACATACAGAGATGATAGTAAACACACAGAGATAAAAACGCAGACAGACATACACACACACATGTTTTTTGCCCGGGGGACCAACTACAGCCTGGCTCTGTCTGAGGAGGATGGGGTGTGTGTTGCAGAGGACACTGGAGATGGTGGGTAAATACACACACACACACCTGAACACACAAACATTAATGATGTCCAAAAACAAACAGTTATCACTTGAAATAAATCAGAATCAGATATAATTTTCAAAAGCATGAGCATGAATGACTGCTGAATTCCTTTTCTCCTCTTGTTTTAGAACAAGTCTGCTTTGAGGAGGAGCCCTCTCATCTCCCCATGGGTGTGTGCATCCATAACCTTGTCAAGGTAGGAACTATGTTTTTAAAGTAAACAAATTGTGTTCTTCAAATAAGAATGTTTGTAATTTGATTACAAAATACTGGAGATGTTAACTCTTTTATCCTTAAAGCTAGTGTATGTGTGTGTTGTATCTGCTGCAGTTCAGTGCATGTACTATGTGTTTTGTGTTTGCAGGTGTACAAGACAGGGAACAAGCTGGCTGTGAACAAGCTGGCTCTGAACTTGTACGAGGGACAGATCACCTCCTTCCTGGGACACAATGGAGCCGGCAAGACCACCACCATGTAAGGAACACTGTACTCACTTTAAGACATGGTGCAGCCTTTGGAATGGATCTGTCCACGGTGCTGAAAATGTGATAACTGTTGCAGCACCAAGTTTTCCACTATTGTACAACATAGTATTACAGACATGTGTGTGTGTAGATTTTTCATATGGGTAAAACCAAGACAGACAGAAAGACTTTTGCTTTAGGCAGAGGATATCATCTTTAAGGACTATCTAAGACATTTGGAGATTCAAGTGCAATGGGCTCTTGTAGGTGCTCTTGTGTTGCTCAAGATGTGCATCTTCCATCCTGTATAGACATGCGAACCTTTCTCAAGATTTAGATTGTATCAGAGGTGTTTGGTAACTCATGTTCCTGCATAGATCCATTCTAACAGTGTTTTTGCATTGTTCCCTTGCTCTCACACCAATGTTTACAGATGCATTTTGACAGCACTGTTCAATATTGATGTCACACCAGTGTTTCCTTGATCTCCCACCAATGTTTACAGGTCCATCCTGACGGGCCTGTTCCCACCCACTGCGGGCTCGGCCACGATCTACGGACACGACATCCGCACGGACATGCTGGAGATCCGCAAGAGCCTGGGCATGTGTCCGCAACACAACGTGCTGTTCGACAAGTATGACTGTCAACTCATTCGTAATCTGTTCTGTTCTGAATATTTAACATAACTTTGTTACCTTTGTCAGAAAGGTCATGTTTTTAGTAGTGTTTGTTTGTGCCTTTCCTTGTGTGTGACTGTAATTATGGTTGATAACAGGCTGATCACATTATTTCTTCTCACCCCACCCCAGGCTGACCGTGGAGGAACATGTGTGGTTCTATGCCCGACTGAAAGGCATGCAGTCAGCTGACATTGAGAAGGACCTGCAGCAGTAAGTATTCATAGAACTATTTTCACCCTAAAATACTGACTGTCAAGATATTCCAAATCATTTCATCACAATAACAACTAATCAGGAGGACAACCTGATAGCCTTGTTTGAAATGCAAGCAAAACCTCGGTCTGAGCCAGCAACATCGCCGGTAGATAAATCAAGAATCTTTAAAACCATAGAAAACTTAGCCTCTCCTTGGTGCTGAAAAGCATGTTAAATGTCTGTTATATTTGGCATCTAAATTTAACCTCCCTGCTGCTTACCCCCATAACAAATACAAATTCCATGCCAAATGGCTAAGTTAACATGTTAAAAGTTAAATAGGGAGTATTAGAGTCAATCTCTCTTCCTGCCAGATTTTTTGGAGACGTGAGTCTGCAGCACAAGTGGAAGGCAAAGCAGTATGGGTAAGAGGTTGAAGTCTGCCATCTCTGATTGCCTTGCTCTTTCAGACTGATCGGTGACGTGAGCCTGCAGCACAAGCGCAAGGACCCAGTGTCCTCCCTGTCAGGCGGGATGAAGAGGAAGCTGTCCGTGGCCATCGCGTTTGTCGGCGGCTCCCGTACCGTCATCCTGGATGAACCCACGGCAGGGGTGGACCCCTACGCCAGGAGGGCCATATGGGACTTCCTCGTCAACTACAAGAGAGGTGGGTAGACCACCATGTACCTTTTAAGGTGGTAGATACACCACAAGTGCGAAATCCATGCTGGCCAAACTCCTTGTTGGACTATAGAACTGATCAGTTATGAGTCTGGACAGTAATCTTGTAATGACTTCCCACAGAGACTGCTTTTTGTGTCAACCGTCACGTCTACTAGCAAATATGGCAACACTGTTTAATGTTACAATGTACATATTGTTATAATAATTATGTTGGTTTTAATGTAGTTGAATTTTAATGTAAAGCTCAGCAAAATTCAGCAGATCTACTGTGTTTTAACAATAAACCAATAAATCAAAAGCCTGAAACAATATAGGGGTGGTGGGTTGTTAATCCACTGTGTTTTGGGCACAGTACTGGAAGGCAGAGTCCATCTTCTGTTTATTCCCCCCAGGTCGTACAATCCTGCTGTCAACCCACCACATGGACGAGGCAGACATCCTGGGGGACCGCATCGCCATCATCTCCAACGGCCAGCTGCGGGCCTGCGGGAGCTCGCTCTTCCTCAAGAGCACGTTCGGAGACGGGTACCGCCTCACCGTGGTCAAGCGGCCGGTGGACAGGGAAGAGCAGGGGTCAGGAGGTACGGACTGAAACTTGCTTTGCTCTTTTAATGATTAAAATGCAGTCATTGGGAGATCCAGTTAAGGCTTTGAGGCTACTTAAATGTTAGTCTTGCTTGGCCATAATTTGATGATTTGGTTCTTGGATATTTTTATTAGTAGTTCATGAAATGGTAAGAAGAGAACACCATGAAAACAGAAAGTTGGGGGGAAAACCTGCATGATTTTGACTTTGTTCATTCTCTGAAACTGTGTGCACCAAAGTACATTATATTATTTGATTTTCCCCTCAGACTCCTGCAAGAAATCAGCTTGGTGTGGCCTTACCAATACGATGCTTTGATTAATAGATCTTTTATTGATTTTCCTCCTCCGCCTTTGCCCAGAACCTGACCTGAACTCGTCCCTATCCAATGGCTCTATCATCACCAGGTGTGCAGAACAGAAGGTCTCCAAGTTCATCAGACAGGTACACAAACACCTCAGGTTTTGTGCTCGATGGTCAGATCAATGAAATAACATTATGAAATTTTTTGTACTGAAGTCTAGTCATTTTTGTGGAGGTTTTAAGTGGTTACAATTCTTGTACTTAGTATCTAACAAGTGAAAATTATGCCAATAATTGTTAGCTACAATATACAGTCATTAGTATATGAGAAAAAGGGATGTTTAAAATACTACATTGTACAAATGTATAAGTCTCGGGCTACGATTCTGAATAACATTGGACCATTCAAACTTTGAGTTTACACTCCATGACCTACAGAAAGAGTCTGGTATCATCTTTGGGTAATGGGTTTCACATTAAGTGATTGGTCTCTGGAAAATCAATGGAAATCTGATGTCTAGTATCTTTGCCTGTTTTCCCCAGCATGTGGCAGGAGCTGTCCTCCTGTCTGACACCAACCGTGAGATCTCCTACATGCTGCCCTCCGAGGCCGTCAAGAAGGGCTGCTTTGAGAAGCTGTTCAGCGCCCTTCAGAGCAAGCTGGACGACCTTGACCTCAGCAGCTTTGGGCTGACTGACACGACCTTGGAGGAGGTGTTCCTCAAGGTCACAGAAGCCACTAGCAATGACCTTCCAGGTGAGTGCTGCAAAAACATAACTCAAAAGCTGATAAAAAGAAGAAAAAATATTTGTTTGCCAAAACAGTTTTATTTTTAAGTCATAGAACCACTTTTTCCTGTATCCTATACAATGTATTTACCAAATGAGAAGACATGCAAGTACCTATTAGTAAGCTTGTACCAATTTAGAATTTTTGTTATAATTTTGTTTTCTGTAACCTAACTTGTGCTTAAGAAAGGGTTTTTCTTTAATTCTCTTTTCAGAAAAAGAGGAGAAGGACTCCCTGCCCCTGCCGACCCCCCCTGAAGCCTCCAGCCCTCCGGTGACGACCCCGGGTGACCCCAGCATGGTGGAGCTGGAGATGCCTGTACGCGGCGGGGTCAGCGGGAGGTCATACGATCGGCTGATGGAGGACGGGGACAACATCAGTCAGCACAGCAGTGGTAAGGGCCTCCTCTCATTACAAAAAAGTTAAGTTAAACTCAGGGTTTTCTGAAACAGTAACTGTTGGCTGGTCTACACTTTTCTCATTAGGAATCTGTAACAGTGTTTTCTGTATATTCTCAATACTTCAATTTTTTGCAGAGCATTTTCTACATGTTTTTTTAATAATCCTGCTGGGTGATTACTTACAAAGCATAGAAAAGGAGAAAAGTGGAATTTCCATTTAATATTTTTTTGCAATTGTTGATAGTGGACATTTTCTTTGCATAGATTTCAGTGATAACTGTGCTTCAATCCCTATTGGTACACTTGATACTGTTGATGCTTTATAAATATGTAAGCTGGAAATGTTGGCCATTCTTCGTCAAGATTTCAAAGTTTCCTAAAGTTTTCTCCTTTCTTCCCCAGAACCTGCAGAAGATCCCATCTGCCTTGACCAGGAGGGGGTGGGCAGCTACCGTCTGGAGGGCTGTCAGCTGGCCTTTAGTCAGTTCTGGGGCCTCATGATCAAACGCTTCAACTTCTCCAGACGGAACACCAAGGCCCTTTTCTCACAGGTCACAATTCTCATTGTTTCCTCCTCTGACATTTTAACCTTCTTCCTGCTCCAGAACCTCCACACAAATTTGGTGCAAATGGCTACCTTAGCATGCTGGAAGTTAACGTACATAGTACTGTTGTGGGAAAAATATATTTTTGCGTAATGACGTCAAAACAGATCTAAACGTAGGAGGAAAACCTGACTATTTTTACTCCAGGGCCAGTAAGCTACAAATTAATGTATTGTGCACCAAACTACAGAGTCTGACTAGATTCCTCTCAGAAAGATTTCATTTCTTTGCTTTGTCATTATTTTGTAATTTTTTTCATGTATAGTCAACAATATGCAAAAAAAACTTTCTCCACAGATCGTCCTTCCTGCCCTCTTCATCTGTGTTGCCATGACAGTTGCGCTGTCTGTCCCTGACATCGGAGACTACCCCCCGCTGGTCCTCAGTCCCTCCCAGTACCACAACTACACCAGCCCCATCGGGAACTTCGTGCCCATCTCTGACGAGAAGGAGATGCAGGAGACCCAGCTGTACGTGGACGCCACTGCTCAGGAGCTGATGCAGACCGTGCACCTGCCGTCAGGAATCGGTGCTACCTGTGTCCTCAAGTCACCGTTCAACGATACTCTATCCATGGAGGTAGGTATACATTGTACCCTGTACAACTGTTGAGCAGTAAAGGTCACTCATTCTACATGTAGTTCTATGCCTGAATGATTAGAGTTAGGATCAGGCACAGTTCTAAGCTGATGCAGACTGTTCACCTGCCATCGGGAATCGGCACTACGTGTGTCCTGAAGTCACCTTACAACGATACTCTATCCATGGAGGTAGGGATCAGATACTGTTGTACCCTGTTCAACTGTTGAGCAGTATAAAGTTCATTCTACATGTAGTTCTATGCCTGAATGAATTAGATTTAGGGTCAGACTGTGCACCTGCCATCTGGGATTGGAGCTATGTGTTTGCTCAAGTCGCCTTTCAATGATGCTCTATCCATGGACGAGCTAGGAATCAGACAAAACTCAAAACTAGACATTTTTTATTGAAGCTATTTGGAACAATCACTTTCAGTGAATAGTTGTATGTATTTGTTAAACATTATGCTTGTTTTGATCATGCAACCCATATGTCTAAAGTGCAATAAAATAGCATAAAGGCTAGTTAACAGCATTATATTCAGTTACTATATCATAATTATATGTTGTAACATTTGTAAACCTCATGTCATATCCAGAACTGTGCTTATCTAGTTCTATTCCTGAATGGATTAGGATCAGGCACCTTTCAGTGTAGTCTCTGTGTATTTAAGAAATTGTAGATTTGCCCCATGGAGGTGTGGACTATTCAAAACCGTTCCTGAGCATGGTTCTAGGTAAAGCACAGTTCTGGATACAATACACCCTTACCACTTTGTTCAATAAATACATTTTGAATCTTAAATCTTTAGGTGATTAAACTGAACCTCACCGATGGAGCCAAGCTGCCGCTGACGGACAAGTACTTTGACGAGACGTGTCGCCAGTCGTTTGTGCACGGTGTTCGGCTGGATAACTACGTGCCAAAGCCCCCCACCCCGGCCCCCCCTCCCAAGAGCCTCCATCAGAAACAGAACATCCACTATACTACATCGTTTGATCCCAACCCCAACCATACAGGTAAGGGGCTTCTTTGGTTTATTTACTAGATGCTTAAAGGCCACACCAATTCAATTTCAGTTGTTGGTTTTCAGATATAAAAAAATGTCAAACTGGAAAACATATTTAGCCTGAAGACCAGGTTTCTGCTTTGGCGCACTCCGTTTTATGCTGTGGACACAGTCATGTTCAAGTGTTCCTTCATCCCTTCTATTAAGAGATACCAGTAACCACATATCACCCTTTGAACGGGGCTGTATGACCCCTTCTGTGTGGTGTAACCCCACTAGTTTACCAGATTGGTGTGGCCTAACAGTTTGATAATTAAGCAACATTTTATATGTACATTGCACATTTTATGTCACATTTGGGTGATCAAAATGTTCTTACATGTCTCTCTACAGTCATGAGAACCTGCCAGTGCCCCAGTGCCAGTGCATGAAGAACAACACAATGCTTCAGATCTTATTATGTTGCAGATAGAGTTTAAACATACATTCTTTTTATTCTGTGTACATTCTGTTAAAATGACCTGAGTGTTCTTACATGACTCTCTACAGTCCATGAGAACCTGCCAGTGCCCCAGTGCCAGTGTATGAAGGACAACACCGGGTTCCTGTGCACCCCCGACCCCTACCCTCCCCACCGCTTCAAGGTCATCACAGGGGACATCCTGCTGGACGTGACGGGACGGAACACGACCTTGTGGTACCTCAACACCAACGACCTCTACAGGCTACACAGGTAGGGCTCTACAGCTTCATCAGTAGTATAAAGTCTTAGTAGAATGTTGAACTTTATTCCAACACAAGGGTTACACAGAGATCAAATTTTCAATGACCATTGACCTTCATCAGGATAATTAATGACTAGCATATTTGATCGATTGTACCTTCGGAAGTGATCGATCACTAATTGTCCTAATGAAGGCAATAGTGGTTGTTGAAAATTTGATCTTTGTGTAACCCTTGGTTGCATTACAACCAACACAGATGAACTTTCATGATACTATAGTATAGTATAGTATATTAGTATAAAATCTGTCCATCCAGAGCCACCTAAATCTGCAGAGATTTCACAAAATAATCTCCCCCCCAAAGGCTTTTCAATGTTTTTCATGGATGCTCTTGCAGTTACTCTCATTGTTCAGTCACTTTTGTCCTGAAAGTACATCTTGCAGGAAGTGCTTTAATTTGCGCATTTTGTCAATGTCAGGATGTGCTATAGTCTTGCACATTTGCAGTGCCTGTTCACAGTAGCTTAGTGCTTTTATGTAATCACCCAGTTCACCCCATGTTACTCCTAGGTAAAACAGTGATGTGGCAATGTCAGTATGTTCTTTGTCCTTGCCATAGATAGTCCTGTACATCTGCAGTGCCTCTTCTAGGTAGCTGACCGCCTTTCTGTGATAGCCAACTTTAATACAGGCTACTGCTAAATTTCTGAGTAGTATGGCTGTTTGAGGATGTGCATTGATCTGACTATACATGCTCCTGTGCATCTGTAGTGCCTGTTCAAAGTAGCTGAGTGCTTTTCTGTGATCACCCAGGGCGCTACATGTACCTCCTAGATTATAAAGTGGTGTGACAATGTCAGAATGTACAGCATCCACACCGTAGACATTCCTGTGCATCTGGAATGCCTGCTCAAGGTATCTAAGTGCTTTCTTGTACTCACCCAGGTTACTCAGGGTTGTTCCTATGTTAGAAAGTGATTTGGCAATGTGAGAATGTGCAGCACCCTGACCATAAACTTTCCTGCACATCTGTAGTGCCTGCCTATGGTATCTGAGTGCTTTTCTGTCATTACCAAGGCCAGACCAGGCTGACCCCAGATTGCCAAAAGAAGAGGCAATGTCAGAATGTGCAGTACCTTGACCATAGACACTGGTTTGCATCTGCAGTGCCTGTTCATGGTAGCTGATTGCCTTTCTGTGATCACCTAGATTGCACCAGGCAAGCCCAATGTTGTTGAGTGAAGTAGCAATTTCAGGATGTGTATTGGTCTGACCATAGACATCCCTGTGCATCTGCAGTGACTGTTCAAGGTAGCTGATTGCTATTCTGCTTTCACCCAGATTTTGCCAAGCCATTCCTATGTTGTTGAATGATCTGGCAATATCAGGATGTGCCTTACTCTCTCTATAGATACATCTCCGCATCTGCAGTGCCTGCTCATGGTAGCTGATAGCTTTCCTATAATCACCAACTTCACACCAGGTTGACCCTATAACACTGAGTTGGGTAGCAATGTTGGGATGTGCTGTATCCTGACCATAGATGCTCCTAACCATTGCCAGTGCCTGTTCACAGTAGCTCATACCTCTTCTGTGATCACCAAGTCTACTCCATGCTCCCCCGAGATTGTTGAGTGAAGTGGCAATTTCAGGATGTGCTGTACTATGACCATAAATACACCTCTGCATCTGCAGTGCATTTATATTGAAGTCTATTGCTTTTTTATAATCATTCAAGTGGTACCAAGCCATCCCCATGTTTCGGAGTAAAATAGCAATGTCTGGATTTGCTGTTGTGTGCCTAAAGGGACTGATGAGCCTGTGCATCTGTAGTGCTTCTCCAAAATAGCCGAGTGCTTTATTGTAATCTGCCAGGAAGATCCAGGATTCTCCCAGGCTGTTAAGTAACACGGCAATGTCAGGATGTGCTGTCCTCTTCCCATAGACACTCCTAAACATCTGTAGTGCCTGTTCATAGTAGCGGACTGCTTCCATGTCATTGCCCGAGCATGCCAAGGCATTCCCAAGCATGGAATGGATCTCGGCAATTAAACATGGAGTATATGCTGAGTTCTGACCACACATTCGCAGTGCCTGTTCATTGTAGCCAATAACCTTTTGGTAATCACCCATTCTGAAATAAGCAACTTGAATATCGTTGAGAAGCAAGATTTTCTCATCGTCGTTTCCATTTTCTTCTTCGAGAGCCTGACAGAAGAAAGTGGTAGCTAGCCTATATTTACACAGCTCATAGTACATCTTTCCTTGTACTCTTAGAGAATTATCATAGAGCTCAAGAACTGAGCTTAGAAGTTCAGATGGTTTCTTTCCATGCCATTCAGTCAAAGCTTTCTTAAGTGGAATTGCTGTGTAGTAGTATCTGAAAAGCAGTTTTTCATTTCCAATATGGAAAACTGGTATCAATGCAGTTGTTTGCATATCATTATCATTGGTCTGTGGGGATGATTCCTGTCTTTCCATTGAGGCCAAAGCTGACAGGTTTTCCTTCTGTCCACCATTTGCAATGTATGTTTTGAGCCTGAGTTCTGCAGAGATGCTGGTAAGCACTGTCAGGTGGTGTGCATTGTTGGGGCTGATCACTTGCTGGCTTTCCATTTTGTCTATTGTCTCCCACACTGTGGTAGGTATGATGCCTGAAGACAGTGCCAAGCAGTCCACTGCTACAGCTGGGAAGCGATAGAGTTCTTTCTTCACATCAATCAGCCCTGCTGTAAGTGTTTCTTTGTTAGTGTGGCTCATGATGTTTTCTTTAAGAGTCTCCTGTGCCAGTTGTCGAGCCATTTTGCCCCCATCAGCTTGCAGTATCTTCACTGTGATGGCCATGTACATGTCAATCAAGTCCTGATCCCCTGCTATCAGGCATGGGTTTCTCAAGATAGAGGCAAGGTGATATCCTTCCTTCAGGTACAATGTGGCATCCTTTTGAAGTAAAGAAACCATGTTTTCTGGGGTGCAGATGAGTTCACTGGATGGGTCATTCATAGTTCCCTGCCTGCCCAGTGGAGTCTTGCTTGCTTTTGGCATGGAGCCATCAAATGCAAACCCATGTGGTGTAACAGAGTCGTAGTACCAGTTGTCCAGTGGATGCCCAGAGTAGAAGTCATTGAGACATTTTATTCCCAGTGCTGGGAGAATGGTTTCTCCCAGATTGACTACCTTGAGGTGTAGATAGTGAGTGATTTTGCAGAAATACACAAGACATTCGTCACTTTCATCCTCTACCAAGATGGCAAACTCCAGGTCTGAGTATGGAGTTACCAGTCCTGTGGCCTGTGAACCCAAACCTATCAGGGCATACTTACATGGAGGGGGACCCATTAACCCAATACACCCATCTACAAGTAAACTGATGAACTCTTTTCTTTGTTGTGCAATGTTCTCAAACAACTGCCTGACAGCCTGAGCTCGTTTTGCCTCTATCTCCTTGACACATGGGTCATCCTCATCATGTACATAGGGATCCAGCTGCTGGTCAATGGTTTCCATCTCCAGCTTGATCTGTTCCCGCATCTCCTTCAGCTGTTTCTTGTGATTTTCTATCTGATCTTGAAATGAAACATTATGTACATGTACACCTAAGATACATTTAAGAAATGACTCTTGTACATCTTTGACAGTTGATGCTATGTTACCATTGAGGACTTGATCCTCTGACCTGGCTATTGCTGCATTGTAGAGTGCTGCTGCTTTGACAAAGTCTCCCCCGTCTCCTGTCTGCTGACCTCGCTTACTGTAGACATCCCCCAACTTGCACAGGGGCTCCACCTCTCTCTGGTACTGCTTGGCTATGGGATCTGGGAGGATAATGTTAGACAAGTCATGTATAATGTACATTACCACTTAGTCTATAAGACTACAATTATGTACAACATGTATAATCATCATGATAATAAAATAAATGTAACTATTCATAGAATTATGGTACTACATGTAGCTTTACTATAAAGTGGATGTGCTTCAAATGAGAACAATTTTAATTACATCCTGAGGAAAAGCACCACTCTTGTCTCAAGTTTGTTCTTACCTCTCACGTGTACCATCTTGAGTGCAGCTGCAAAGTGCTGCTCTGCTGAGTCCAGGTCAGCATTGTCAATGGATGATTCGCCTTTCTTGAGGTGATCTTCGTACCTTTGGATTATGGTGACAAAAGTTTAAACAAAATCAAGAAATACAAATTATATTCAATAGGAAGACTTAGTATCAAATACATGTATCAAGCCAATAATTTCTATAATACATTGCACATTCAAATGATAATATAATGCAGTCATAGAAACTTCAAAGATTACTTGTTTCTATATACTATAGGATTTTTCAATTATACATCACACATTCAAATGATAATGTAGCGCAGTCATAGAAAATTCAAAGATTACTGTCTTGTTTGTAATAGTATATAATGTAGGATTTTTCTCTCACATGTGTTTGAGTCTTTCTTGTTTCACTGTTTCAGCTGCAACTCTGGTCATTTCTGGCTTTGTTGCACTGCTGTTAAAAGGCATATTTCATAAAGATGTATATGTCATCTTTTCTAATTTGACAGTTAAATGCCATGTAGTCTACCATAATTAACAAATTTACGGACTCCGAAATAGATTCAACTTTTACTTCCATCAACTTTGTGCAACTTGTAGAAAGGTTTGCCCACCTTGATTTGTCCTGAAGGACATGTTGGTCTGGAGTAACTGTTACATCTGTCACTGTGCTTGTGATGTTTCCCAACTCATGCTCTTTGGATGGACTTCTTTCTCTTTGTCTTGATGTTTTCAGTGAGAATTTCTGCAGGAGTTATTCCACATTTGTTGCAATTTTTATAGTGTATTTAACTTAAGTTAATCCTTTATGTATGTACACAAGAGGTTGTACTGATAAGGACCTACATATAATATCAATTTGACAAAAAAACAGTTTGACTAAGAGAGCAAGATTTTAAAAAAACACTTCATTCTCGGCTTCACAGAGGATTTCTTTTAGCCATACAGGTGTGCAATAAAGAGAGGAAGAAGACAACCTAATTTTTTTAGATTTAGAAAATCAAAGTGAATTTCGAAGTTGTGCAGTGTTCACTGTAGCATCTTGCAAATACAAAATGTATAATATACATTTTGTATTTGCAAGATGCTACAGTTTTCAAGAGTTTGAAAATGAATGAAATTAATACAAATGGTGACACAGTAACAAGGACAGGGAGAGTACACTGCACAACTTCGTAATTGTCTTCGTCAGAAGGACTATGAAATTGTCTCGCCGGAGTGTGGGGAACTGCGGATTTTGCGACATAACTCTGGAAGGCATGATTCGACGTCCATGATTTTTGGCAGGCAGATTACCGCTGTTAAGGCCAAAGTCAAGTACAAGTTTTGGCTTCGTGGGGGGTCCGTGCGTCACGTTAGTGCACCTTTTGTGTTTGTGGCTTGTTAGCAAGATAACTCAAGTATTTGTAAAATGTTGATTATAATTCTTGGTGTGGTGCTTACTATTGTCGGGACCAAGGTTAAGTTCGTTACTGAGCTTCGTGGGGGGTTTCGTTGTGACTACAGGGGGCATTTTGTTAATTTTTCTTGTGAGCAGGATAACTTTTGTATGTATGGATGGAAGTTAATGAAATTTGATAGGCATATTACTGTCGTGGTCTCCAAGATTGAGTTCAAAGATGAGAGTCGTGGAGGTCGTTATGTCCCCGTAATAGGACCTTTTGTGTTTAGAAATCCCCCCCCTACATCTGCTTGGAGACAGCCGACCGCTGGATATAGCCGGGGAACCCCATAATGGGATGGGATCAAATGACGTTACATTGAGGGATTGTACTATAACTTCAGCAGGGGGAGGATAGGTTGGACATATGTCAGGTTATTTTCTACGGCCACACCAAGTAATTGCTATGGATGACGTCCACTGGAGACCTTAAATCTAATTACCTTAAATTTAAGGCAAGCGCGCAATAAAAACACGAAGGGCCGAAAAACGAGATGCCTAGATTTGGAATATACTAACTGTAGAAGTACAAATGTTAGGACACAAAGAACACAAGAAACAAGTCTTCTATTTGTCATAAAGACAAATTAACAAAACAGCAGTAGTCACCCTGTTCTGATTCTTTCCTTTATAACATCTTCTCTTATTATATTTTGCGGCGCTGTCGTGACACTTTCAACACAGTAAGAATTTCTTGAACGTTTTTTTCCAGTAACAGTCCAAACTCAAATAACGTAGGGGGGGGGGCTAACACGGGTGACGACGCATCTGTATAATCTGCGGCAAACCGTTTCAGGGTGTTCTGTACCATAAAAATAGTACAGAGAGTCTTTTGTTCTTTAGACCAAATTGATTATTAAAAAGATTGAAGAATACGCATGTTAATTTCTCTAGAACGATGTACCTCTGACGAAGACATGAGATCTCCGACCTCTAGTTCACTTTGATTTTCTAAATCTAAAACATTAGGTTGTCTTCTTCCTCTCTTTATTCCACACCTGTATGGCTAAAAAATCCTCTGTGAAGCAGAGAATGAAGTGTTTTTTTTAATCATGCCCTGTTAGTCAAACTGTTTTTTCTTCAGGAATATTAGGGAAAAGCAAAGCCTGACAAAAACTACTCACCCTTTTAACTGCTTCACTGATCTTCCCTGTATACAGGATTCGATGTTCCAGAGTCAGTTTTGTCTCAGCATCCCCACATGTTGTCAGGGCCTTGTTGTACATGGCAGCTGCCTTGGAGAACTGGGATGCATCAGAGGTTTTCTTGCCTTTCTCAAGATAGAAATCACCAAGAACTTTAAGAATTTGGAGCTCCAATAATGCGTCCCCTGCCTCTATTGCTGCCACAAGTGCTTCTGTGTAAATGTCCTCTGTAGAACGCCAGGATTCCCCAACAGTTTTCTCCAATTTGTGGCACACTTTTGCCACCCTTAAAACATTGTTGTGGTCAACATGTTTACAGTTCCTTGAAGTCTGATACTGTGGACTGTACCCCTGTAGCAGTTGTCTGGTCCAGGAGAGTTTCTCCGTGTAGCTGATACGATGTTCCAGTGTTTGTCCCACATCTGGATCTGTGCAGCGCAGTAAGGCAGCAGCATACAGGGCAGCAGCCTTGTCAAACTCTGCTGAGTCTTTCCTGAGCTTACCTTTCCGAAGATGCAGGTCTCCAAGACTTTTTAGGACTTCTAGTTCCACAACAACATCCTTCCTAATAATGGCTTCTCTCAGGGCCTGCCGATAGCCAATTTGCTTGCCATGTTGACTCTTGAGACACAGTTCTAAATCCTGAAGCCTGTTTGCCAGGCTGGTCATGTTGATGTCAGACATATCCATACAAAATACAGAGTCCTTAATTATCCCTCAGAAGGTGTTGAATGTCTGTTTCTTCCCATGTCAGCAAAAGTTCTGGTTTTTCCCTGTGACTAAGGTGGAATTTGACCTGTGAAACTTCTGGGACTTTCCATGGAGTCACATGTCAGTCAGCAGTTTGTTTCATAAAAGTGTAAATATGTACATGTAGCTTGCCAAATAATGGGTAAAGGTCACTTAATACCTAACATATGCAGACCTCATCTTTGGCCACCTAATCTAGGTCCGTGTTGATACTAGAAACTTTTAAGGTAACATTTGCAAAGCAAAATGTTTATCTTTGCATAATTATGGTCTGTCCTGTTAATTTTTACTCAAGCACATTCATACATGTATATAGTCAGACAGAAGTCTAAATCCCTCCTGCTATAAAATTGCAACATCTGTATCTGTATCAGTATTGCCGGTATAACCGCTCTTCAGCGTAACACTCCAGCTAACATGATGTAACCCAACACTAGACCATGGTACATGTAACAGCCAGTCTGGTTCAGATCATTGACCATTTTGGTTTGGAGAAGAAGAGGAAACAGAGCAAAAACAATATTGTTTTCCTTCGGTTAATATAATTACATGTATATAATTATTAGTATATGTAATGCAATTCTTATTTTGTCATCGTACATTCAAAGTGTACAGTAACTTGATAATTATGTAATGCCTTTTTCCAGGTACGGTGCCCTGTCCTTTGGGAACGTCCGTGATTACGTGCCGACCTCCCTCAACAACATCCACGACTCTGCCCAGAGCTCTTACTCAGGACTCAGGAAACTCGCTGTCAGGCATGTGGCCAAGGTAGGAACACCCCCTTTTCATGAGTGGACTAGTCCAAATCAGACAAGACTGACAGAAATTTGACTGATAGGTAGATCATTCTATTTTTCTGCAGGGGTGGTAAAATTATAGGATGTTCTCAAATTAACAAAAGCATGAACGTTTGCTTAAAATACATGCTTTAACTTAAAACCATGCAGAATTGAATGAATGATGGAAGAAGAAAGAACTGTAAGTATAATGAAGAAATGAAGAAACTTGAGAAAGAATGAATGTTTAATGGATGAATATTCTTTTATTGCTAGACCAGGTATGGTAACTGTTAGACTCACCTATTCCTTTTAGCAACATTTGCAAATGCTATTTTACTGACTAGTATGTTTTTTTCTCCCTTTCTCTCTCCAGGCTTGGTATAACCACAAGGGCTACCACAGCATGCCGACCTACCTCAACACCCTGAACAACGCCATCCTCAGGGCCAACGTACCCAAGTCTGAACAGGACCTCGGCAACCCTGCAGCTTATGGTAACCGTCATCAGATTCTGCCTCTTCAAATCAATCATTCTTTAGTTGGTTGGTTGTAAAAGTGTACCATTCTCCTATAGACATGACATGGTGTATCATGACCACTATTGTTGTTATCAATTCCTAGATGGCAGATGGTGGTGGCAATTACACAATGTAAAGAACACTGAATGTTAAAGAACCCACCTCAAAAAGAGTGATTGTATTTTTATAACAAGAACCATCATGTCACAATTACTGTAACTACAGTGTTACAGTACCAAATTAGCCTTAAAATTCAGACATATTTTCTTATAATTCCATTCCTGCAGGAATAACAGTGATAAACCACCCTATGAACGAGTCGAGCATGTGGCTGACTGAATTTACTTTGTAACTGTGCGGTTGTATAATTCTGTTCTGTTGTTCTTACAGGTATAACTGTGATAAACCACCCAATGAACGAGACCAGCACACGGCTGACATCAGAGTACATCCTGCAGGGCACGGACGTGGTCATCGCCATCTTCATCATCGTCGCCATGTCCTTCGTGCCGGCCAGCTTCGTCGTGTTCCTGGTGTTCGAGCGCTCCATCAAGGCCAAACACCTGCAGTTTGTCAGCGGGGTCAACCCCATCATCTACTGGGTCTCCAACTATGCCTGGGATATGGTGAGAAAATAGCATGTCATAAATATCTACATTAAAGATGTAAGCTTGGCTAACTTGCAATTTTAGCTTGTATAAGGAGCCCGTCCCTCTCATTGGTCAGGCCACTAGAGAGTGGCTTTTGCACAGAGTCTGTTGGATCTCAGACATTTTATGTGAAATTTTGTTCTTGTTGTTGTTTTTCCTTTGCATTGCTGTAGTCCATCAAGCTTGTATATGTGGTTGAACCGTTCTTTGTTCACGAGAGGCTCAAATCAACCTGCAGGTTTTTTTTTTCATAGGAAGATTAGGGTTAGGGCAGGTCTTTCATGTAGTTCATTAGAAAAATGAGTTATTAACTGTCTTGTCTGGTTCCCAGCTGAACTACCTCCTCCCGGCCACCTGCTGTGTCATTATCCTGACCATCTTTGACCTGCCAGCGTACACCTCAACTACAAACTTCCCTGCTGTGGTGGCACTGTTCCTCATGTATGGGTAAGTATTGTACAGTATTATGTTGTGAATTTCATGAACTTAGAGCAAACAACATCCTCTGAGCTAGCCTGGGTGCCATCCTCCGTAGTTTCCGCCCGCTCCCTAATGTTGCTGGCTACCAGTGACATTAGGGAGCATACTCCAAGTAGCCAGATTTATTCAATTGCTTCGATTTTGTATAATTTACATAATGATTGTTCTACATGTACCTGGATGTCTAACCTTCATCAATGTATAACAGTAACTGTTCTAACTCCCTTCTCTGTTTTTCCATCTGCTAACTTCCCAGTTGGTCGATCACCCCGATGATGTACCCGGTGTCGTTCTGGTTCAACGTTCCGAGCCACGCCTACGTGTTCCTCATTGTCATCAACCTGTTCATCGGCATCACCGCTACCGTGGCCACCTTCATGTTCCAACTCTTCCAGTACGACAAGGTGAGGAAGAAAATCATTCAATTTAAACTAAGGCCACGCCAATTTATTTATTTTTAATAATCCATAGTTTTCGGACATTTAACTGAAGGTGAAATATAGCAAGCAGGCATCTTAAGAACAGAGGGCAGGAAGGAAAAATATGAATATGTCAGACTCTGTATTAACTCCAAAGACCCTTGTGGACTGCAAGCAGCTTAGGTCTAAACCTAGTCCTCAGGCTTTCTTCTCATTAAGCATATTTTTTTATAAATTTGTGGGACCTGAATAACAGAGGAGATGAACAAATGGATTACAATCATAGTGTCATACTACATGTGTATGGACTTTTTATTTGTACACAACCAGGAGAAACTCTACTTGTCAATCATATTATACTCGACAAGAAGTAGTAACTGTTTTGAAAGAAAAAAAATGCCAGAAACCAGATAAAACCTTCAATGTTGTTGTTTTCCTCAGGACCTGCATGCCATCAATGAGTACATGAGGAAGGCGTTCCTGCTGTTCCCTAACTACTGCCTGGGGCGAGGCCTGATGGACCTGGCTTACAACGAGTACTTCAACGAGTACTACCTCAAGATCGGTATGGATCAACTTAAAAAACAGAATAATCATTATTGCCTTCTACTGAATTTTATGTTTCATATACAGGAACATCATTCTGTTTTTGAAACCATCTGTCAGTGAGTTTTTTTAGATCAGTACTGGTGAGGCAATAAGTCACTGTTCTATATACCGGTAAACAACATACTATTATTAAATAAATGATTATATACAGTCACGTAATATTCTTATTTCCAATATATATAGGCACAGTGACTTCACTGCTTTTTTATGCCATCATTCTTCACCAAATTATGTTCTCTAAAAATCCCCTGAAAAGACAGAGCAGAATACTCGTACATTAACACTTGAATAGGCAAAACCAGTTTTATAGAATGACAGAATTACGTTCACGAATGTCCTCAGTAAGGGATGGTCTCTCACAGCAGTTTGTCCTTGACCTTGCAGGCCAGGAGGACAAGGTGAAGTCTCCGTTTGACTGGGAGCTGGTGACCCGCAGTCTGGTTGCCATGGCAGCAGAGGGTCTGGTGTTCTTCTTCATCACCATCCTGTGTGAATACAAGTTCTTCTTCAAGCCCAAGTAAGTTTCATCATCTTATCATCATGTAAGTAAGGGACTGTTATTTTCACCTTTTTTATGTGGCCATGGCAACAGAGAATATTGTGTTCTTCAAAGACTTAAGTTTCGTTGACTGGAAATATATTTAAGGCTTAAAAGGGCATGAAAAGGCACTTTGGAAGACACAGTGAAGAATTAAAAAAAAAACTGCATCAAAATTGGTTTTCTTACATTATGAAGAATCATCTTGTGTGTGTGTCCATATGTCACGTATATGAGCCTTTCAAAGTCCATTCTTAATTTCTATACAAATGTCATAGAGTCAACTGATGTATCTTTAATTTGTTTGTAATGGGTATTTTTAAAATAGATGGCAAAGGGTTTTATTTTGACTCGTTGTATTATAAGTTCTTTGATCCAATCTAAACATCAATGCTCTTTGTACCTGCCTTTGTCTGCCAGGTACCTGGCTGTATCTGAGGAACCAATCGAGGATGAGGATATTGATGTGGCCAACGAGCGGCAGCGGATCCTGAGGGGGGACGCCGACAAGGACCTCATGAAACTCTCCAACCTCACCAAGGTAGACAGGGCTTGAAATTTTAACTTGAAACTATGGCGGCCACACCAATATGAATATACAATACTCAAACACTGAATCACAGTGCACGTGTATATTGTTACTACTCCTAGCATTTACTACATTCTGTATATGTTGCTTGCTTGCATGCAATGATGTTTTGTGTGTTTTGCCAGGTGTACAAGACGAGTAAGAAGAACGGGCAGACTCCTGCTGTGGACAGGCTGTGTGTGGCAGTGCCATGTGGGGAGGTAGGTTGTCTTGTCTTGTGTATCTACCAATAAGGTTGTCAGAACATGGAATGTATTCTAAAGATTTTGAAGGAAATCAGAATGCATACTACAGACTGCATGATTCTAATTATGCCATCCTGCATCCTCACAGTGCTTTGGGCTGCTGGGAGTGAATGGTGCAGGTAAAACAACAACCTTCAAGATGCTGACTGGGGAGATCGCTGTGACTGGGGGAGAGGCCTTCCTGAACGGACACGGGTGAGTCTGTCACACAGGCATGCTTCTATCTCTGGGATCAAAAATACCATCTGTATATTACGCATATTTACTTAATGCTGGTTAAGTTGGGGCTGTGCACCACTAGATATTTTTCATGTTGCCTAACCTGCATTGGGCCATGACAAAACCAGCCTAAGACATATGCCCAGCAATGGTCAAAAACTACCTTGCATTCTTCAAAGTAGCATAATTGAAGACTGCAGAGAACCAAGTTAGCCAAATTACAAATGGTGACACTAGGAACATTTTTGTCAAAGAGTTTCATTTATTTATAAACTAACAGGCAAAGAAATTGCAGTAAATTGCAGTCCCTTTCAATTCCTATCACTGACATTACCCTTAATTGTTCCAGTATCCTAAAAGACATCATCAAAGTTCACCAGAGCATAGGATACTGCCCGCAGTTCGACGCTCTGCTGGACGAACTCACGGCACGCGGACACCTGACCATGTACGCACGGCTACGGGGTATCCCATGGTCTGAAACTGATCAGGTTTGTTTGTTTGTTTGTTTGAGCCTTTCCTTATTCTTATTCATCAAATAGTCAAAGCAGTCTGCTGGCTTTTCATTGTCAAGAGGGAAAAGGGAAGAGGTCAGGGTCAGATGAAATATACAGGTTATATGATTTAAGTCGTAACCCATAAGTTTTACAAAGTCAGTTTGACATAACATTCTTACAGTCACAGGCATATACATGGTTCTACAAAAAAAGCACATCCATATGGCAAAAAAACACATTTGATCATTTAGTATGTATATTGAAATAAGAGCAAGGAGCCATATTTAATTTTGCTTTATCTAATTCACTACGTATTTGCCAAGACACTGGCAAAAAATCTAACAAAAAACAAGATAACTTAAGAGTAACTATTTACTCTGCCATTCCAGGTAGTGAACTGGGCCCTGCGTAAGCTGGCCCTGATGCCGTACGCAGACAAACCAGCGGGAACGCTCAGCGGAGGGAACAAGCGCAAACTCTCCACCGCCATCGCTCTCATCGGATTTCCTCCTCTCATCTTCCTCGTAAGTTGGATTTCATATTTTGGTCCGTGGTCTTTCCTTCTTGCTGAAACACAAAGGGGTGAGTAGCACAGTCTCTTGGGATTTGAACCTGTGCCAAACCCAGGCCGCCAGCTCACAAATCCAAAGCACTATCCACAAGGCTAAAAGGTCTGGATCAGTTGGACTGGTCAGTTGGTGACACTTGAGCCCCACTGCTAATGCCCTTTTGTAATAAAAAATACATGTTAGATTTTTACTGTCATCAGAATAGTTTGGAGTATTACTTTCTGCTGGATGAACTTCCAGATCACAGGATACAACTTAAAATGTCAGTTGGTCTGGCCTTAAAAGTTAGTCCGCCTGTTTTCAGGATGAGCCGACCACCGGTATGGACCCTGCAGCTCGGCGGTTCCTCTGGGACCTTATCAAGTCTATCATCCAGACTGGACGCTCTGTCATCCTCACTTCACACAGGTAAAGGTTTTTCTCATCACTCAACTTTTAAAGCATATATGCATCCCCTTTTTTTGCTCGTAGTGCAGCTGAAGTTGGACAATTCCCCAAATCTGAGGCAAACATTTTAGACTTGCTTTCTATTGATTCAGAAGCGTTTTACATCATGTGCAATTGAATGACATGTCTTCAAGTCGGTAGTCCTTCGCAGTCAAAGACGAATGTGGCTTCTGAGTCCCAAACTCGAGGCACACAATCATCCACGCATTGCACATTGGTCATCTATTGTCAGGATTGCTGTTAATTAATGTACAATGTATGTCACATCTTAAATGGTATGTCTGTTAGGTACATTATATAATAGAAATATGTTTGTTCTTCCTCCCAGTATGGAGGAGTGTGAGGCCCTGTGCACACGGCTGGCCATCATGGTGAACGGCAGGTTCAAGTGTCTGGGCAGCATCCAGCACCTCAAGAACAGGTATGTGTGGACTGGGGTAATGATAGTTAACTTGTTAGTTGCTAATATGTTTATTAGTCAGTTTTTGATAGTTAACTTGCCAGCTTGTTAGTTCATTAGTTAGTCAGTCAGTTAGCTAGTTAGTTTATCAGCTAGTTAGTTACTTAGTGAGAGATTGAAAGGTTGATTGAATAATTATTTGCAACAGCTGATTCATACATGTACATGTAGCTAGCTAGCTAGTACACATGTACATGAATGTATACAAAGGCCATTACAAGGACTAAAATGGAAGATCTTTACATAAGAATGAAGAGAATCATACCATCCTACTTTTAGTAAGTTAAACATAGAGTTTAAGAAAATTGTGCTTTTTAAAGGTTACTCTACATGATGTCTGTTGCTCTGTTCCCACAGGTTTGGAGATGGGTACATGATCACAGTCAGGGTGAAACCTGGAGCGGAGGTGAAGCAAGTTGTCAGGTTCTTCAACCGTACATTCCCAGAGGCTGTCATGAAGGTGGGTTTTTAGTCCAAATCATTAATTTCATTTAGTTCTTTCCCACTTTTTTCTAGATTCCAGAAGTGTTTTGCAAGACAGTCCTGGCTAGATATTGTACATGTGTCCATGGGAAAGGCACTTCACACGACTTTCTTCAATCAAAGGTGTAAACTGGGTGCCTGACTTAAGGGGTTCCGGTGGAGGTAAAAGACAGTGGAAAGAGAGGGATGGGCTCCGCCTTCAAGTACCATGCCCTAAACACAATGGACTAACAACCCACTGCCATAATGGCCTCATAAAGGCTATAGGACTACCATTACCTTCTACATCTTACATTTTTTTATGTCAACCTTTTTTCAGGAGCGTCACCACAACATGGTTCAGTACGAGCTGAAGTCAGCTGACCTGTCACTGGCCTTCATCTTCACCAAGATGGAGGAGGTTCAGGAGACCCTCAGGATAGAGGACTACTCTGTCAGCCAGACTACACTGGACAATGTGAGTAATGCTGGTTCTCCTACACGTGTATGACACATGTATGTGTCTGTTAAAAACAGTTACAGTCAAACTAACCAGGTTCAGGAGACACTCAGGATAGAGGACTACTCTGTCAGCCAGACTACACTGGACAATGTGAGTAACACTGGTTCTCCTACACGTGTATGACACGTGTATGTGTCTGTTAAAAACAGTTACAGTCAAACTAACCTGAGGTTCAGGAGACCCTCAGGATAGAGGACTACTCTGTCAGCCAGACTACACTCGACAATGTGAGTAAAATTGGCTCTCCTTTCATGTATGTTAAAAACAGTTAAAGTCAAATCTAGCCAACCAATCAGGCTGAGGAGATCTGTCAGCCAGACGACTCTCGACAATGTGAGAAATTTTTCCTTCTCCCTGTATGTGTAGGCTAAAAACATTTGATACAATTTCAGGGCAGCAGTCTGGATGAGGAAATCTGATACTGATACATGTATTTACTGCCATTCCTTAGCACATTTTTATCATCATTTTATTATACTAAGTCTTAGTGTGTTTGAAATAGCCCCCAAACAAGACAGATCTCATAATGACAGAATGATGCTCCTATTGGTACATGTAGTTCTGGGCAGTCTTGATTTACAGGTGTATGTATGTACTTACCTCTCTGTTGAGGAGGACCACTAAGGTGCTGACAGTAAGAGATTGTGTAACACACTGTCAGGCTAATCTAAACAATTGTCCAATCCCTTCCCCATAGGTGTTTGTGAACTTTGCCAAGAAGCAGAGTGACATCTTTGACGACTCTGTCCCGGCGGAGAGCACCACGCCGTCGCCACGGCGATTTCGACTGTTCCGGCGGCGCACGGAGACGGAGATGCAGCCGATCGTCCTGTCTGAGGAGTCGCTGGACCAGGAGGAGGAGGCCGTGTCCATCCAGCTGGAACAGTCCATGGTGAGTGGTTAAGTCTTCATCAGGCCTTCATACTGGGTTATTGACAGTAGAATTTGGCAAAACTAGGCCATGGCTTGTGTTTGTTCATGTGTGTGTGTGTCCATCCAACTTCAACATTGAATTTGTTATCTTTTTCAAGGCTGTAATATTCTAAGTGCTGATGGTGTTACAATGTACATCACATTCAGACGTGTGTGTGTGTGTGTGTGTGTGTGTGTGTGTGTGTGTGTGTGTGTGTGTGTGTGTGTGTGTGTGTGTGTGTGTTTTATATTACACATTTAACTTATAATTACTGATGAATATATTTAATGATGCTTGACCCATGGGAGATACATGTAGAATCAGAAGAAGAATAAGTTGCCCAAAATAGTTCCCTCACTTTAACTTTTGCTATTTATTGATTTAACGAATCAACCTTTCCAAATTTTCTAGGCTCGCCTGGACTTCATTGACTCTACTTGTTGAGAACCAATCTGCGCCATTGTGAAGATTTGTATCGTGTAATGTGTGATAAACCCAAGCCACAAGCAAGACGTCGCTAATGGACATTAAGGACTTCAGACAAACCGTGGCCAAACATTCCTGTAGTTGACCTGCAGGGATGACTGTGTATGACAGCAATAGTAGAGGTAGATGTTTCTGCAACTGATGACTTAATGGTGTACATGTGAGTTTGCAGTAGTGGAATCTTGATATGGTATATTGTAATTCAATTGCTTTCGTAAACTTTAGGTGATTGCGGTGTATTATACAGTAGGGAAAAGGTTTTCTTGTACGTCTGTGACAATGTCTTGTTTGTATATAGAGGAGAACCAGTCATGAAAGAGTTGCATTCAAGCGTAGAGAAGTCTTACATGTACCTGACATTGTGTATTGTGTCATACTTTCCTAGGAAGCTACGAAAGCAAAGAGATATAGGTGATGCATTGGATTCCTTTTTCCTAAAGCCTTTTGGTGAAACCATTCCTTAAGAACCAAGTTAAACTCCTGAGATTGTATCTGCCAAATCTACTTAAAGTCAGGTGATTTTGTACAGACCACCTCTTGTATGTGACTCCCTGAAAATTGTACAAATTTCAAAGTTTCGAAGTTGTAAGACAATCAGCAATGCAGAAGAGCTTTCTGCATTTGTGCTCTGATGCCATAACTTTTGTGAGTATCAAAAAGAATCTACTATGTAGAAGAAATTGAAACCTGATGGATCAGAAAAGGCACTGTACATGTCACATGTAGGTCGTTATGTGTCGGATTTAGATGCCAATGGACCTATACCATTATTACGTCACAGTTTGTTTACCTGTTCTAAAGAACATTCTAGAACGGTCAGTTAAAGAATAAAGATCATTTCAAAGTTTTCAAAGTCAGGTATGTCTGATTTTTGCTGCGCCTAGTTGTGTTGACACAGCATTACATGCCGCATTGGTGATTTAGTTGTGACATTAGACGAAAGTAGTACTGTATTAAAAGCCTTATATTAGGCTAACGCTACACAAACGAACACCGCGCTACGCACCCCTGTACAACATAAACGTCGATTGACCGGCATTCATTGCGGTAAACAAACTGTGATGTAATAATGGTATAGGTCCATTGTAATGTCATTGAGAATATTTGATAAATCGTTGATTCGGCAGATCTTAAAATATCAAATTGTTTGTTCACATTTACTGATAAAAAAATCTTATTACAAATGTATTGTAGTGCAAGATTGTTGGTTAGTCAATGTTAACATATAGACACTAAGTTGAAGTACATTATTCTGTAGTATCAATTATTAAATATAAATGTATACTGTAAGCAAAAAGTATCTATTAGTAAACATAGGAATGCTTCTAACAAAGAATCATTGTACTGAAAAGATATGCACTGTTCCAAACCAAAGTGCACTTCACATTTGCACTAACGTTGCAAAATATGTTCATATCACGCTTAATAAGTAAATCCAATCTGCATAAATTATGTAAGAAATGTTGTTTTCTAGTTGGTTTTAGTTGAACTTAATGAATGATATACAAGATTGTATGTTGTGCCTGGAGCTGAGTTTCAGGCTGCAATATTGGTAGTTACATGGCCAGGTTGGTGCCATAGTTCGTTGTATTAGAAACTGAATTATTGTTTAAAAAAGAACATATAAAAGTTTGTTTCCTAATTGTAGATTGTAGTAAGGCACATGTAATGCGTAAATTCTGCTAGATTGTATCTTTGACAGTGTTAGATACATAGCATTGTGCATACAATGTCACTCAATTTGTGAGGTTAGCGTTTCGACTCCCAGTCTACAGGATGAGTTATGAAGTCCAATACACACACTACTTCAGAGTTGAAATGTATGTAATGTGGGCCACTGTTTTTCAGAATTGAATATTTTATTATGGCATTGATGCCGTGGAAAATGTCTTTATTATTATTAGATGAACATTGTTTCCTTTACATGTATGTTAGCCAAGCAGATAGAAGAAATTCCTTTATAGTGAAATGGCTCCTTTACAGATTGATTTGTTTTGGAAGTTAACGTGATGTGTTGTTTTTAAAGTGAAGGTGTATAGCGAGTGTACATGTATATACATGTACATGTTAGATGTACATGTACAGTAGTGGAAGCACTCTCCAAGCAGAGCTAGATTTACATTCCTTTGTATTGCCCAGATTTTTGTCAGTGGTCCAGTTCTTGGATAAAGACTATAAGAAAGTTGGGCAAGTCAAAAGAAGGTTACTGTTCAAAATCCCCATCCAATATTTGCTTGGAGAGACCATCATAGAACCACATTTTAAAGCCCATATTTTTTTCAGATATTTTTAAGTGCTGATATTACAAAATGTATATAGTGCTGTTCATGGAGCTGGTCTTTGAGTTAATCAATCACAATGTGACATGCTGCATTTTGTTGGCTGAAGCCTGAATTTGACAGTATTAAGTGTTACTGGACAACTCAAATTTTGAAATCCATGGCTGGGCTATGATGTTGTTTCAATGTTGCTAACCTAAAATTTACGTAAACGATGATTTCAGTTTCCATATTGCAATGATATATGAATAGGAGATAACAACAATGCTGTGTTTTTTTATTTGTTGCTTTCTGTATATTTTTTTCTTTACATGTGTTAAAGCAAGAAAATTATAATGTCCTTAGGCTTGATTTGACAAAGCCACACAAGTCGTAAAATGCAGTACTTATGTAAGCTCTGTAGTGTTTTATTGTGGGGAAAGCTTCAGACACTTTCGAAGAATTGAAATCAATTTGGGATCATTGATCTAACGCTGTGTCAAAAGAAAGTGACTGTACTGCTGTGCCACAGTTCTGTACCCTTGCTACATTGTATCAACCCATTAATGCACTGATAAGCATTCCAAATGTGGCCATGTACTGTGATGATGATGATAAACTTTGATACAATGAATATCAACCATTTGTGTGTGGCATGTTGGACAATGAAAACTGCACTTTCAGCACTTTTTCTGCCTTTCCAGAATCATGTACAAACGTTTTCACTGCGGTGATTTTTCCAACTTTGAATAAACATTTCAAGCAAGGGCACAAAATATCTTGTGTTGTTTATTTGTCTCACTGTTGTTGACTGTGTGAATGTGTGTTTGTCACATCGTTTGATCTGAAACTTTTATTTCTAAGCATAACGAAGAACATAAAAATTGAATTCAGCCAAATTTCTAGACGAACTTTAGACTTTTGCCAAGAAAAAATGACACTCCTTTTGACAGGTGGGTTCAGAAATGGTTGAAATATCGTCAAAAAAAGCTCCGTCTTCAGTCGCTTGTACAAGCCGTTCTAGAAATTGTTGTCTCAAAATTAATAGATACAAGACTAAAACAGTTCTTTCCCGATAAATTCGTGTTATCCAGGTAGTCATAGTGAGCCTCAAGGTCAAGAACAAGAGCAGGAAAGACCTGGAGTAAAAACCCCATAAGAGCCCATCGGGTTTCCCAAGTCGCGAATTGGCCGAATCTGGGAATGAGCGAGGCTTCGTTAGCGAGATACGGCCCTTTCCAGAACGAGAGCTCCAAAACCGGGGTGTGATAGGGGATGAATTTCCGCTTTTTCAATTTTAGTAAAATGAAACTTTTGACATTTTTCTTTGCTCTTAATTTCAGAGTATACTACTCATGGCCTCTATGATATTCATACTTAATGCCTTCGCTCAAATCTTCTTCATTCTCGAGTTATACGTAAAAATGTGATTTTGCGATCAGCTGATCGCTTGCAGAAGTGGTCACAGCCTTTGCAGAAGTGGAGTTTTCGCTGTCTGATACATTACCATATGACAGAAAACCAAGCAGATGTCAGAGGGGAAAGACCGTATACTTATAGTTTATACATGTACATTTTGTACTTGCCGACGAGCTGACTTCTAGCGGGCAACGTAGGTTTCTACGAGCAAAAAAAATCACTGCAGTAATAGGAGGAACAGTTTGAGGCACTTTATTTTTTGGTAACAGCCTTCCGTTGACTCAGATCACATATATAACAAAAGAAAAGGCGCCCATAAAATGGAATCATTGATCGTGGTGCCCGTAACCATTTTATTGGGAAGGATTTCAAAGCCACCTTACTAACATATGACTGTCTGATAAATCTAAATGTACGTGTGCATAAAATCTACATGGTTTTAAGAGTATGCTGCCAAAGGTCTACTATACACAAAAAAATATATAGACATTTAACGCCATCCTAGACTAGCTACATTGAGATAAAACGCTGAAAACTGGGTATCTATTATACACTAGTGAAAGATAATGGTGAAATACGCATACTAAAATATGATCTATTGGAATTTCCTAAAATTATGACGCTGACAGTAAAATCTGTAGCTATATTCCAGGCTTCATTTTTTTCACTAAAGTTAAATGCATTTCATCACACTTATTTTCCTATGTTACATGTACAAGTTAGCAACCATAAAAATAATGTATTTCATGGATTTTACAATCCGAGCAAAATCAACTTACGCTTCTATGATATGAAACATATATAATTTATATTGATAGTTTTGAAGACTACTAAAATACACTAGTGTTATGTAATCTTTTGACTTTACAGTTATATCATATAATACTGAATATATATATCATGTCAAAACATTTCATGTTATATCATTTATGTACTTTGCATAGAAAGATTATTCTTCATAAACTAATGTTCCTCATATTTGTAATGTCTGCTGTGGTACCTTTGCATATCTTTACATTCAGTACATTGCTGTTAATCTTTACTCAATCTAAACTTATGTTTCTACTGTGATATTGTATTTACTATTTCTTAAGACAAGTCGTTTTCTACTGTTGACAAATCTAAAAATGCTGGTAAGTTTAAAAAAAAACGGCAATTAGTAACGTGGGATCCCTGATATACATGCACGTCTGAATGACTTATTTCAACATTGTAGATCAGGCCTGAAATCAGCTGCTACGTAGAGCTGTGTACCTCACATGAGCCGGGCCTGTACCTATGTCACCATGATTCACCGAGCGCGTCG